AAGCAGCAAACATAGGGCAGAAAAGAGCCCTCTACATAAACATCTTGGTGATTTCAGTCACCGTCTCCGTCCCCTACCTCAAATCCAAATACTCTTAGTCTCTCCCTCTACACCATAGGGACATACCTCGAGCGAAACATCTCAGAAAATTGCTCCTAGGTAACTGTAGCCCTCTGTTCAAGAGTGTACGAGTCCATAACCAATTGTCACCAATCATTTGCACCTGAACGAAGAAGGTGTTGGATTTGGTGTCTAAGCCCATAGCTATAATTGGGATGTACTTGACCATAATAGCATGGTCCTTTTGGGTTGCCTTCACCAGTGCAATTTGATAGGATGGACTTTTTGAAAATAATTTTATTTATGGTTTATTAATATATTACAAGTATAATATATTTGATTAGTATTGATCAAGAATTAATTTGGAATTAATTTTGTGATCAAAACAGACTAATTAAATATATGAGGATTGATTATGTAAATCAATGATTCTTATAGTGTGGACCAATGATCCATGATTATTTAGATGGGCTAAACCAATAAGTTAACCCATGGATAGTCCATGGAGGTTAAACCCATGGAGCAGAAGAATGTGAAAAGTCATGGAGCATTAGGGTTTACAAAGTGTAACCCTAGCATTTGCCACACTATAAATAGAACCCCCCATGAACCAAAATCGGTTGCCACACCTATTAAGATATGTAACTTATTCTCTTAAAACCTCCTCTTTCATATTGGTGTTTGTGAACCATTATAGGCATCACACTTGAGGTGCTCAAGCTTTCAAAGGTCAAGAACTCTACCCTACTCAAGAGGTAAGCATCCAAACTAAGTTTATATTGTATAGCTTCAATTGTATGCTAGCTAAGGAGAATGCTTTGGAAAAATTGAAAATGCATGTATAATTAGAGAAAACATAGATCCAAAGCATTTAGGGTTGTATGTGCACCATAGGAGTGTTATAGTACTCAATACCCAACAGTGGTATCAAAGCCTAGGATTGTTTTCTATTATATTTGATGCTTACTAGTTTTTCAAAGCTGAAAAAGTCAAAATTTTGGCCTATGACTGGTGAACTCGCCGAGTCCATGAACAGACTCGACGAGTCCACTTAGTAACAGATCAACTCGCCGAGTCCAGTTCATGCACTCGACGAGTTGAAGGCTTTGTTTGCAGAATTTCAAGTTTCTTGGCCTGGTTTGGATTGGGAACACTACCACAAACTGTTTTGGATCATTGGAAATGTTTTTTATGATATGGTAGTGCTTGTACTCATCCAACCACAAGATAATTGTCAAAGTTTTAAAATAATTTTTGTTTTTATATGATAAACAAAGTTGCTTTCAAATTGTTGACTTGAAATTATCTTGATTATGATTTTAGTTAGATCATAGATTATGTGATAATTTTAGTTGTTAGAAAAATGATCTAGATGAATTTTAATGACCTCCATAACTTGTCCTCAAGTTATAGAAAATGAAATGTCTCATACATTAAAATCCAATTAAACTCATAAGTTATGAATGTGAAGAGTTTTGACAAGTTTCAAAACTTGCCCTCAAGTTTTGGAATTTGTAAAGTCTCATTAATGAAACTTTAATTCAAATCCCTAGAGTTTTAAAAGTTAAAATTCAACCCTTATACTTTATAATATTGTAAGTTTAATATATATATATATATATATATATATATATATATATATATATATATATATATATAAGACTAGTCAGTCTTACCGTTAGTAGGTCTCATTTACGAAGCCGCTCTATAAGGAGGTATAAGGTTACTGCCTATAAAATGGTGGTTTAATGGGTGACCACTCTCACCCACCGCTTCCTTGACTGGTGGAGGGTCGTTAGCCGAACGGGTAGGATAGGACACTAATTCTCCCTCATTAAAAGTATAATGATAAATATAAAGTAACTAAACTTTTATTAAATTCTCAATCTTAGTTACTTTAGGAAAATGTGAAAATGGTACTAATCCATTAAATTACACTTTGCACCTTGTTAAGTCGTTAGTGGAGCGTGTGTGGTTAACCGACACACTAATCTGGGACTGACAATGTGTGGAAAATGGTAGCTTGGTGTTAATCATAGATCAATGGAGCGCGTATGGTTAACCGGCACATTGATTAGGTGATTTGTAATATTGGGTGTACTAAGTTAATTTTCATGGTTATTCACACCTTGTTTGTGATCCTCGGCATCCCAGTCACAAACTTGAACTGCACAATCGAGATTTAAACATGTCATTGAAAAGTTCAATGAATCTCAAAGATCTAGGAATTTCAAACCAATTAAAACTTAATAATCTATTTCGTTTTTTATGGTGGAAATTGGTAAATCGTCATTTACCTACCTTCAAATATTTTACAATTGGATTACGGCATCCCTCTTCGCAATTGTAGAATATTGTGTTGGGTCCTAGCCTTAATATTTCATTTGGGTGTAATATTAAGGATTCTCATCTAATCTAAACTTTTTTCTTCTTTTTCAGATGTCTATCCCAAAACAATGCTTCAACACCAATTCCTTCAGGCTCTTTCTCCCTCATGAACCTATGTGGGAGGGTCATTTTCGATGGCTCGAACTTCAATGACTAGATTCGTAACATCAGAATGGCTATTCGCTATGAGGACAAAGAATATGTCCTGGATAAAGAGCTTACGGAGATTGATGTAACCACTGCCACTCCTTAACAAATCGTTAAACACACTACTCATGAGAGAGATGCGATAAAGGTTTCGTGTCTTATGATTGCTACCATGACTGCTGAGCTATAGAAGTCCAATGAGGACTACTATCCCTATGAAATGTATCATGATTTGATGGAAAGATACCATCAAAGTGTTCGGCAGGAGAGGTATGAGATCATTGCCTCCATGATCACAACCAAAATGAAAGATAGTGAACCCATCACGGCCCACTTGCAAAAGATGCAGAGATATGTGGACCGTTTGCTAAAATTGAATGTCAATGTTGATGAAGAGTTGGCCATAGATATTATTCTACACTCTTTACCTTATTGTTATGATCAGTTTCGTATGACCTATCATATGAACAAGGAGGAGATCACTTTTAGCAAGCTTCAAGGCCTTCTAAGGACTGCAGAGAGCAACCTGAAAGGCAAATCGGTTGTGTCTACTTCTACTACTACTACTTATGCCCCTGTTCTGGCAATCGGACATGGGAAAGGAAAGAAGAGGAAGGCTCCCTCCAAGATCCGCAAGGGAAAGTCTCTTGATGGATCCTCTTCTAGTGGGACCAAGGCTGGTTCTGCTAATCCCTCTTCCAATCCGAATGATGCTGACTGCTTCCATTGTCATGAAAAAGGGCACTGGAAACGAAGCTGCCCCAAGTACTTGCAGGATATAAAGGATGGGAAGATCAAACCCTCCATTGCAGGTATTTACAAGAGTAAATTACACGAATGGTCCCTATGGTTTGGGGTAATTTGTGCCCTTGGTCCCTAACTTATTTTTTTAACTCGAGGGGTCCCTACTATTTGTTTTTGTTACGCGTTTGGTCCCTACTGTTTGTTTTTGTTACGTGTTTGGTCTCTGTCTTACCTAAACAAAACTATTATTTAAATAGGAAAAATGGTGGGGTAGGTAAGGTAAGGTGAGGGGGTGAGATTGAGGGTGTGTTTATTTAAATAAATTAAAAAATCAAGGGTAAAATATTCTTTTTAGGTAAGACAGGGACCAAGTGCGTAACAAAAACAAACAGTAGGGACCTTCCAAGTTAAAAAAATAAATTAAGGACCAAACGCGCAAATTACCCTAAACCATATGGACTATTCGTGTAATTTACTCATAAAATTAAGTTGATATAAAACAAATTTATAAATTGATAAAAATACATGTAGCAAGTTTAGTTTGTTTTTACCTTTTTACCTTTTTCCAATAAAATATGATTTAGCTTTATTTGTTATTTTACTTTAACAATATTGAAAGAATTATTAATTCAACAACAATTGCTTAACAACTTAGGCCCGTTTGATACGCATCTTTCCAGGTCCAAACAGATCTTTCAGACTGAATTGACCGAAAAGACTGTTTGATTTGCACAAAAGAGTGGGTCTTTCCCGGTAAGATATGTCTTTCCTAGAAAGCCCCAAAAATCATATATTTCTGGCTGAATGGGCTGGAAAGACAATTATACACCAAACCCCGTCTCTTTCTTTCTTTATTGGATTATTAATTTTTTTAAATAACTTTTTTTAAATTTATTTTTTATTGAATTATTTTTTTTTTCATCATTCAGCACAGTCAATCAGATGTACAATCAAACAGCATGGTTTCTTTCCCAGTCAGAAAACTTTCACAGACAGCACTTTACCAGACAGCACTTTCCCAGACAGAAACTATCAAACGGGACCTTACTTGGAGATTTTGAATAAAAGAAAAATATTACGTTACAGTTATTTGGTGTTATGTAAGAAACAAAGACCTCCTTAACTCCTTTAACCATTTTTCTCTAGTAAACTTGATGCTTGCTAAAAATTTATATATTTATATGTATTGTACAAAAAGAACCCATCACTCTAGCTTGTACATATACTAACTAGTAACTCCAACGTTTCACTCTTATCGAAACAATTATGAAATCATACATAATACATACATTTCTATACAAATGTATCTCATTCTTCTTTGAGTTAAAGCAAAATAATATTTAAAAATATTTATCATAACAGATATAATGGAAATAGTACTATAGTTTAATTAAAAACATGATGTTTGTCATTTTGCTAAAATTTATTTTGATGGATATGGATTAGCAATAAACAATAAGCATCCTTTTTTTTTCCCTATCCAAACACCCTCTAAATAAGTTATGTTGTTTGTTTGCGTATTTGTTTGTGGATATGGATTATTTGTTTGTGGATATGGATTAGACTAGTGCACGTACACACAAGTAATGCCTAGGGAAATATGAAACTCAAGCCACAAACGAACAATATCATTTATTTAATATAAGAATAAGAACTTAAGACGCACATAGATATTGGATATCGTCTCTTGTTCATAAACAAGGCGATTATTTTTAACAAACTAGTAAAAATGGATTTTATTGCTCGGCGTATAGAGTATCATAGGGACAAGGTTCTTTCAAATCGATATGACAACCACTAATAATGTTCTCAAATTCGAAGAAAACTTGTAAGTAAGGACATTGACAATCTTTCTGTTGTCTTAATTCATCACAACATTTTTCACTGGGTGGTGTATTATCGTTCATTGCTGGAATACAATCCTCAATATCAAAAATGAAGCAGCGTTGTGGATGTGCTTTGTCTGCTAGGAAGATCACCATGACAATGAGAATAACTAAAACATCAAAAGACTTCGTCATTAGAGATTCAAAATAAATATGCTTGTGAGTCTATTGGAATATGAGTCGTGTATTTATAGATCTCACTAGTGAAACAAGATATTTCAATACAAGAAAAGATGAATATTTCTCTAAAGAAGTCATATACAATAAGTATATAATTGATGAGATAATGAAACGTATGCCTTTATTATATACGTTTGTGTATGCCTTTATTATATACGTTTGAGTTTGAAAAAGAAAAACAATATATGCATTTGAATTCAAGTGGCGCATCTGGTTCAAGACAAACATCGAACAGTTGGAGTGCAAAGCCATTAAGGATTGAAGTCCCAACATTCAATTGTACTCTGATTCTCAGAATTGGATGTTCAAAATCTAATAATTATTCGATTATCATAAAATCAACGAAGAGGAAAGATTAAAGGTTAGTTCATAATATGTTGAGGGACTTGGAGGGAGGTTTGAAGAGATGAAGTCCTAGAAGTTTGATCAAACAGAGATTTCTATTGGAAAAAAAACCTTTTTGAAACAAAATCTTTGATAATTTCGTCTCTAACTCGATTCTGAAAGACTAAAACTTCAAACTTCCAGCGATTCAGAAAGAATTTCAGAAACTTCCGGCGATTCAGAAATCAATTTTCGGCTCTAACTTTCGATTCTGATTCACTGATTATCGGTGCTATTTCAGAATGGACGAATTCGGAAATCAAAAAAGAAGAAAATCAGAAATCGATTAACTTGAATGAGAAAAAAAAGAAAGAAGTAAACAACAAATAACTAACCGTTGGCTTCTGGAGAAAGAGAAGTCCATTGAAGTTTCCATAGAAATCGACTGAAGAGTTGCTGACGCCTTCGAAGCTGATTAGAATATTGGGCCTTTGAAAGAATTAGTCCAATAGGCTTAAAAATAATGGGTTGTCTTTAATATTTAAACAACACTAATAACAATATTCTTATTTTTATGGTATGATAATGATATTAACATTTTTATTTTTATTTAAAATACTAACTGAACAACAAATATATTATTTCTACTAACAATATTATTACTATTACTAATAATTTAATGATAACAAATAGGATTTCTTCACTTTTCTATACAAATTAAACATCATTATCAAGAAATGGTACTCAAAAGGAATTCGTTAACCAAACAATAATTGCAGAGTGATCATAAGCATTCGTTTTCAATCACACTATCAAACTTTATACAAATAATGGTCTAAAAATGCTTAGGAGTTAAACAATTATTGAAGAGACATAAAACTTAAATGCAATGATATAGATCGTACTTTGAAAATGACATGAATGTCGATTAGGGTCTTGATGCGTAAGAATGCAGTAGGGAATCAGTTAATTGTCTTATAATTTATGAACATTGAATCAACAACTCATATAGCATATGATTAAACTTATACCATATATATATATATATATATATATATATATATATATATATATATAATTAAACTTATACATTTATATGCACTTTATTTCGGTGTTGCCCTCCCTCCTTGAGGTTGAGGGTTCAAGTCCCGTCGTGGACATAGGTGTATTTAAGGTGTAGTTTAGATTTGTCGTTCCAAAAAAAATATATATGCACTTTATTTATTATATATTGTAATAAATAAAATGATAAAAGTACTTATTTCTCATTGATAGCATACTTAATAAAAAAATATATGCGTCAACGCACCGTACCCAATCATGACTTGATTTAGTAGTCTTGGATTAAATTACACCGAATCTTTTAAATATGATATCAAAATGCATTAAAAAAAACATGAGATTAATTTATACGTTATAAATTATCTTCTAAATAAGCTATTTTGTGCACTAAAAAAACATTGAAAATGATTAATAACCATACCAAATAATATTAAGTTAGTAAGTTAAAATATTACAAATTATGAGTTGTTTTGTGGAAATAGAATGATTCGGTGTTAACCAACCATTATGAGATCTAAATGATCCAATTTTGTTTGGTAATGTTGTTGATTGGATATGCTGAATGAGAAATCATTTTAACTTTCTAATACATCAATGAGATCGATCTAAATGAAACACGTACATAAACATATAGAAGCCAATGAGATCGATCTAAAAGATAAAGAATTTATGAGAATTTAACACACAAAGAAGCAACCATTAGTTAAAAATCAAAATACAATTAAAAGTTTCAAACGTATTATTAAAGAACGTTATAAAAACAAATTAAATCAAACATACTAATTCAAAATTTAGTGAATAACTTCATAAGTGTTCGAAAGTTGAATAATACCATACATAACTTATAACCGTTAAACACCATACGAGATTACCCATCTAACTTTAGATAACCAAAATCCTAGAATATCCGACTCAAATTTCAATAAGATTTTAAACACCCATAAACAGTTTATAAAATAATCATAAATTCCAAAAATAGAAATCGAGATTACTTAATAAAAGTTCTTTGTCTCTATTTGTTGATGAAAAGAGCAATGAAGAGGATAACGAAGCGATAAGAGTGTAAATGAATCGGCAATGTGGCTTTGGAGAAGAGGAGACGGCGGTGTTAGAGTTCATTGTCTTCTTCCGCCTCCAAAAATGAGGTGTCATGTTTCCTCTCTTTCACTCTTGCTAAAGAGTCACAACAAAAAGAGAGAGAAGAGAAGATAAGGCATTGATGAAAAAAAAAAAATAGACTTGAGAGGAGTTGATCTATAAATCTTTTAGATTTTTGATATATTTTATGGGCTACAAAACACTTTTATTTCTGGATCGTTAAGTGGTTGTTACTAAATAGTAATTATTAAAAACTAGTTACTAACGATAGTAAAATGTAATTAAATACAGTAGTTGTTTTGGAATTAAAGATATCAAAACGTGTTAAATTGAACATTCTAAGTAAACAATCCCAACCACCCCCATAACATAAAAATGTTACATATACAAAGGTAAATAACTAAAAAGTTGTACAATAAGTTTTTTTTTAGATAAAATAAATTGATTGAAGCAGAATCTAAATATGTGAAAAAAGTTAAGAGGATCGGTACCATCCGAATCCAAAAGGTAAAACAATATGCTACGAGCAGGTACACACAATTTTAACTGTGTTCCCCAAGTGGAGAGAGAAGAGAGTCACAGATGCGGCGTTGGAAAAGCACAGGAGGGGGTGGTGGGGCACGTGGCATGTGGCAGTATGGGGCCCACATAAACAGTGGTGCGCCACCACCCCTTTATTCTTGTTAACTAAAATAAATACTTTAATTTGGCTTATATACACACCCGCCAAACATTATGTTTCACTTTCACAGCTGGATTTTATCATTTCTCACGCCATTAAAAACAAATTAACACATACTGTTATTAGTTAAATATATAATTTCTTTTATCCAAAAATGACTAAATTTTAATATTTATTACAGATAAATATATATATTTGTGAAATAGACTTGGTGATTTTTTTTTTCTGTTGTCAAACTGTTTTATCAGTGATGCATCCAAAAGGCTTAACATGCAAAGTGATATCTTGATTCGCAATCCAACTTCCAGTTGGCTTTTGTTGCTTTTATATATTTGGTTGTTGTTAGGCAAAATGTATATTATTTGGCAAAATTTATTTCACAAGTCAATTTAATAAAATGGACAATTAATATGTGATAATTGTTTAGAGGTTGCTATTTTGTAGTAGTAGCTCATCCATTTTGGCTGTTTTAATAACTAACCATTAATTTAACACTTAATAGTATACCTTTATTCTTGTTACGAATTATTTTAATAAAGATTGTTCCTTTTCAAGATTGTTAATGGGGTATCATTCTATCATTAAGTAAGTTAGGGGTGTTTAATAGAAAGTTGAATAAATAAAACGTTTAGAGGAGGAGGAGGTTAACGATATGGGAAGTGATTCGTACACAACAATTTTTTGTCATACACAACAATTTATGCATTATAGAGTTGTACAATACAACACTTTAAAGCACAATTTGTTATGTACGGAAAAAAAATATTGTGTACAAATCAATTCCCAACTATAAACCAACGTTTTGATGATGCCGGAAGGATAAGGAGAATTATGGTTAGATATTTAGGTGTTTTTTGTTTTCTCGAAACAAAAATATCTGAAATTTATGCATCATATCTGCAACCCTCTGCACCAGAATAGGTGAACCAAATGACTGCAACCTATAATAAGAAATTTGTTTGTTTTTTAATGTCTGCAGGCTGCTGCAATAAACTGAAATTAACCATTAAATAATTAAAAATAATTCTAAATCAAATCTATGCAAATCAAATATAAAGATCATTATGATAATATGATTTTTAAAGACGTTTATATAAAATAATTAAACATAATATTTGCTAAAAAAATTGTTAGTTTAACGAATAACGTATTCATTTTGTTAAATTTTCAAAGACGATGGTTATTTCCGGTTAACTTTAATAAATTTGGTAATTTTAGTAATTAACTTTATAATTTATTAATATTAATATTTGGTTATATACAATGTAACACAAAAAATATTTATATGAAATTTATCAAATAGTTTTGAAATTATGTAAAATATATTCGAATTGTTTATAATATATTTTATAATATTATTAAAATAATAAATATGTTCTTGAAAAAATTAAAAAAAAAATCTATGTTGAATAATATAACTTAAAGTAAGGTGAGAAATGGTTTAAAGAGAAGGGTCCGATGTTGTGCCACACAATACACGCGCAACAATTTTTAAAGCAAAAATATTCTAAAAAACAAACAGTTGTGAAAGGCCAAATGTTGTGTATGTGCTGTGTGGCGCAACCAAAGATGGTCAAAAGTTGTTTTCTTAAAAAAAAAACAGCCCCATAGATTTGATTATGAATAATAAATTGTCAAATGTCTCAAACTTCAAATGTGTATCAAGAACAAAATAACATCTAACATATAAATTAATATTAAGGAGTCCTTTATACTAGGAGATAGTTATTGTAAGATATATGTGAAGTTCAAAATTATCTTTTCAAAACGTTTGATGAAAAAGAAGATAGACCTCAACATACATAAAGAAATATATGATCGTGTTCGTATCAATAAGGATACAATTTGAATAAATACATTTTACTTTATTTATTAGGGTTAATGTTACTATAGCCCATCGAACTTCGTATTTTGGCCTGATTTGTTGCTAACAATTTTTTGTACATCTAGTCATTAAAGTTGTAATTTATGTATTAAATAGGGGCTCGATCCCAATACTAACGAGATTCTAAGCTATATAACATCCCAAAAATACAGAGTAAAATTTTCTATAACACTCGTGTTCCCAGGTATGTTCATTTTTGGCCCAAAATATAAAAATGTTGCATTTTTGGTCTTTATGCGAGGCATGCTCCATGAGTACGCCTATCGTAACTCATTAAAGGGATGCGGGATTCTTTTACGTACGTCGGGCGTACTCGGGTGGTATGCATGGCGTACTCACACTGGTCTCAAACCCTAATTTTTAGGGTTTGGACCCTATTTAAACACCTCAAGACCCTCAATGCCTCTTCATAACCAACATTCACTCTCCTTTTTCCATTCATTCGAAACCCTAGCCACCTTGTGAGGTTCTTGAGCTCTTAAAGTGATACTTTGTGTGTTTTGGTACATATTAAAGAAGAAGGAGTCCATTAGAAAGGTGTTGGGTAGCTTGGAGCTTGTGGATCCAGAATTAGTTTTTCATCTAGCATCTTCTAGAGGTATAAAGCTCTAAACTTTATGACTCCTTAGTTTAGATCTAGATTTGGGTTATGTTTTGGACCCATGGATTTGGATTTTGTGAGTATGAGCTACTCTAGAACCTTTAAGCATCATTTCTAGCCATTTCTAAGATTATTAAATCATAAAAATCAAATCTTGAAGGTTATAGTCCAACCATGCATGAAT